GCTTTTTGTCCTTGTCCAAAGAGTCTGCCTGAGGCTAAAGTGAAGAGTTTTGGATTAATTCTATCGGCAGAGGAAATCTCAAACAGTCTAGTATAGACTGTCATGTGGATATTAGTGGTAACAATGACAAAAAGTAAGTTTTGAGGAGAAAAGGAGCACTAGAAAGAGGAATGGAACTAAGTCCTGTGCTCAAGGAGATTAGGAAGTGGAAGAAAGGGAGTGGTGACCTCAGGGCAAGATCCCGAGATTCCAGTTTGTGGAAAGAAGAAGCTTAGAGCCAGGTGTGGTGGGACACACATTTAATCCCAGCACTGGGAAGGCAGAGGCTGGCAGATCTCTGGGTCTGAGGCCAGCCCGGTTTACAGATCCCGTTTCATGACGGCCAAGCTTAGGCAGTGAAGGAAACCACTGAAACCAGAAAGTCGGTGACGATGTAATTAAAGAGGGGACTATGTTCAAGCCCTAGTAAGCAGCAGCAGAACTTGGCAGTTTTGGCCACATGGTTCTGGAATTAACGGTAGAGGAAAAGGGCTATGGGATTTGCCTCCACAACTAAGGGACGCCTCTGAGGCCAGGCATGTGTCAGGGGTGTCCTTGAATGGAGGCCTAGAGGTCATTTCCTGAAGCTGTGAAGCTGAAACCTGGGTTACCTTGGAGACCCCAAGATGCTGGAAAGACCAGAGCTGTGGGGTACCTGTCGAGGAGAGCTGCTAACATGGCATGGAACCAGCCCAAGAGAGAGAAGTTATGCTGCAGTCAACACAGCTGAAAGGAGCTGAAGCTCGGGAGAGCACTTTGACATCAGACCTGGAGATGAGAAGCTTGGAGTTTGCCCAGCTGGTTTTCAGTCCTGCTTTGGTCCAGTATCTCCTCACTATGCTCCCTTCCCTACATTTCGGAATGGTAATGTATATCCTTTGACACTGTATGTTGGAAGTATGTGATATATTTTTTGATTTTATAGGGGATTACAGTTAAGAAATTGCATGAATCTCAGAAGAGACGTTGAACTTTGGATTTTTAAACATTGTTGAGACTGTGATAGACTACAAGGACTTCTGAAGGTGGACTGAATGCATTATGATACTGTTACAAGCTTACGGGGCCAGGGAGTAGAATGTGGTAGTCTGAATGTAACTGACCCCCATAAAAGCTTATAGGAAGCGACGCTACTAGGAGGTGTGGCTTTGTTGAAGTAGCTATGACCTTGTTGGAGAAAGTCTGTCACTGTGGGGATGGGCTTTGAGGTCTTGTATATGCTCAGGATACTGCCCAGTGTCTCAGACCATTTCCCTGTTGCCTGTAAGATGTAGGAATCTCAGTTCCTTCTCCAGCACCATGTCTGTCTGCATACTACCATGTCCCACCATGACAACACTGACCTAACCCTCTGAAACTGTCCCCATTAAATGTTTTTCTTTAGAAGAGTTGTTGTGGTCATGGTGTCTCTTCACAACAATAAAAACCTTAACTAAGACAATTGCAAAGTGAATCTAAGAACACATAAAAAAAAAGATCATCTACCATGATTAAGTTGGCTTCATCCCAGAGATGCAAGGATGGCTCAACATATGTAAATCAATATATGTAATTCCCACAACATTTCTGTTTCTACTTATAGGCATTTTACAGATTGTTGTCATTTTAAAATGGGTATTTTAATTAACCTAATCACTTTTGCTACTTCACTGCTATTTTTACATGTGAGAGTTTATAAAATTAACCATTTATCTCTTCCAAGTTTATAGGACTTTTCAAAATAATATATAGCTGGTTCACTATCTTGTAAGGGAAAGAATAAGGAATAATGCACACTAAATGTACACAAAAATCATTCTGAAATATGAGGCAGACAGCAACAACAGCAATCCAAATAGTTTTGGGATTGCTGTGTAAGAAGAAAGCATTTTACTTCTCCAGATAACTCAGGCTCTAAGATTCTAGTTAGGAGAACGCTTCTCTATCTCTAGGACAGTAAGAAAAACTAGAACTAGTTATCCTATAGGACCTTCAATAACATCTACTTCCAAACATCATTTGTAACATATATCCTAAAACCATTTAGAGAAAAACATGGCAAAGAAAGATGTAGAAGGGGTTGCTTAAGAGATTTATATTAAAATTTACAAGTAATTTTGGTTTCCACTTTCTTACTTTCACTGTCAATTCATTAGTAATTTATTAGATAAGCTTATTAGACATTTGCAATATTAGATAAAGCTATTAGACATCTGAATGCATTTGATGCATTCATTCCAAACTGGTTCCGAGAGGGCGGAAAAATACTGAGCACTAAACTTATTATGCTAATGAACTCAAGCACAAGTCAAGATGAAAAACAAAAGCCTGTCTACCCCCTCACTCGGCGCGTATTTAGGGAAGCCAAGAGTGCAGAGGAAGGAATTGCTGCCCTCTATCCCATTCAAAGTCAACGATGGAGTTTATAAGATAAACAGATGGCAGGGTAGAGAGGGCAGATGTGCAGAGAAGGAAGAGCGAATACCCCCACCCAATGGGACCTGGAAGCTTCTACCCATTCTTCTTAGGAGAGAAGAGGGCTTGGGGGCGAGCTCAGCGGGCTTAAAGAACAAGTGCTAGCTCGTTCCTGTTCAGCTGTGACGTCACTCTCTAGTCCTCTTCTATGACCTGACATAAAACTAGGACGGAGGGACATGGACCTGATGACAATGGACTTCTCTTGGCGGCCTGTCTTACGGCACCCGAGGGAAGCTGCGGCAAAGCTGCTGGGGTGCTGGTGTCGGTGCCCTTAGCTGGAGTCACCTGAGGATCAGCACACTCGGCAGGGGAACGCCGAGTCCCTAAGAGGGACAGAGGCAGTACGGACACTGAGGACAAAGCTGTGTCAAGGGACCTTATAAGATATCAGGTGAGAAAAGGAAATAAAATGTCTTACAAAGCAGGCAGACGCCACTTTCACAGCCTAATAAAGACTACAGGAAGACACGGGGTAGTCTCTGAAGTGGGAAGGAAGCTTTTCAGTTTTCTCAAAGTTATTATGAATCCGCTTTTTATCAGGATAAGTTAGTTTTTTAATTAGGAAAAGAAGTCAAAATATGTCTATAATTAGATAGGCATTTTGTCACAGCAACAGAACAAAGCCAGAACACCGTTTTAAATAATAAAAGTGGTATATGGGAATTTTGAGCTATTTGATTAGAATAACTTGCTTATTTTGTACTAGGAGTGGGAGTGGGGGCCTTGTTGCCATATTTAGTGATAGTTAAATGTAGGGCTTGGAAAAATTAAGGCATATCTTCTTTTAGCATTTGTAGTGTATTTTGAAACTCTTGTCTGATGTCTGGTCTACTTTGTAACAGATTCTCAAAGTCTTGTCTGATGTATCTATCAGTCTACCTGTAATGATGTATTTCATTACCATCTATTATTAGGCTGGCTCTCCTAATGTCACTAACATGAAATGTGGTCACTTACAGTTCCCCAATTTCAAAGTGCCTTTATAATGTTAATCTGCTGTTCCGGAAAAAACAAAAAAAAAACAAAAAAATCAAACCAATTCCTACGTGTCTTCCAGAAATGCAGCCTTGACCCTCATGTCTGAGAGGCCCCAGCCCCTTCTCCACTGCCAGTGAGTCCTAGTTACATCACTGACTCGTTTCCAAATTCTACAATCTTGTTTATAGTGTCACTGCAGGCTGAATCATTCTCTTCATAAGTGGCAGAGGGTAGGATGCTTTGTGGCACTTTTTATTTAATAGAACTCAACTGTCACTTTAAGTGAAAGACATTTTGATGGACTATGAGAAATTCCTGTTAATGAAGGCCATGTCCTTCTGGCCGTGAACATAGGGTGTCTGGTACTTGCTAGCTCCATTTAAAAATTGGATTATTTTGTAAAGTTAATTGTGAATTTCCAAGAATCATTTAAACATTATTGAATTCATTTACTCATTCTGTAAGATGATGGCCCACAAAGGAGGCAGGGAAAGCTCTGAGTCCGTCAAAGTAGAGCTGAGTCAGTGAAGAACATCCGGATATCTGAGTTTAAGTTCAAGGTTTCATTTTCATTGTAGAATTTAATGAGACTAAGAGAATATTATTTTTAACAATAACTTTCAAAAAGAATAACATTTCTAAAGACTTCTCTTCCTAAAGTAATAGTCATCAGAGTTCTGAATACACATACTGAATAGTGAGGAGCTAGGTGTAAGATATGGAAGTGGCCAGGGACAAAGACATACATATCCATATGTCTCCTAAACCAGGGTGCAATACAGACACATGTTCAAAGGCGGTAAAGCGGAAGGACCACAACTGGCATCCACGTGACAAAAAGAACTGCACATCACAAAACAGAAGGAGCTAAGCTGGCTAGGAATGTGTGGGGAGGGACAGCAGGTGACTTTATATTTAAAATACCTCCAAATGCAATGTCCTGATAACAGTTTCTGAACTTTCCAAGAAACGTACTCCTTTATTTATAATATCAATGCCACAGCTTTATTTACACTTAAAATTGTAATTTTAGCCAGGCAGTGATGGTGCACGCCTTTAATCTCAGCACTCCGAGGCAGAGGGAGGCGGATCTCTGTGAATTCGAGGCCAGCCTGGTCTACAGAGTGAGATCCAAGACAGCCGGAGATACACAGAGAAACCCTGTCTTGAAGAAAAAAAAAATAAGTTTGAATTTTGCCAAAAATCATATTTTAAATACGTCCTTGGAATTTATTAGAAAAAATACTTTCACTTCCCATGTCTTTTTGGTTCTGCAGCAGATAAAATTGGCTCTGAAGTTATGAGTTCAACAATTACTGTTACCGTGAGTAGTGTTCTAGTAGTGTGTGGGGTAGGAACTTACAGAGCTCACACACAAGAGTCACACCCATGTGTGACTCCATAGTAAGTTGTTAAGAGCAAATCAAATTAACCTCTAGTTAGTTCAGCATCATTTTACCTGTGCCTCAAAGGAATGAAGGCAAAATTCAACAAAGCACCCATAAAATGAAATGATGCAGACCAACCTTTTATTGCACCCACAATGTTTTGGTCTAGTCCTTTCCGGTTGTCATTGAGTCCTCTTTTCCTCTTCCCATTGGGTAAGGAGTTAGCCAAAGTCTTGTCATCAAAAAATGCACACACCAGTTTTCTAAACAGAAGGCTTCCTGAGCGAGTGTAGTTTGACAATATAGAGTCCAGCTGAGATTTAGGCATAAACACATCGAAGCCTTCAGCAAGTTGCACTTCTGGCTACCAAAAGAAGAGAAATATTTCATTAAAAGCAAGACGTGAAACATTTTACTTTGGGCACAAGTACGAAAAGAACACCAGTGGCTGCTAACATGTCCGTATCTGGTAAATTATACAGTCGCAGTTATGTGTGCTGAATTACAATTTATAAAATCAATGACCACTTATAACTTACAAAATGGGATGCTGCAATTCCAATAGTAAGTCTTATCCAAGTACACACTGAAAACATGTCTCTAGTCATACAAACATTTCAGGGGGCTGGATAATACAGAGTAATACAATTCTTTAACTAAGGAGACATGAATCACCTATATGCAAATCCCGCATTTTGCAAATGAAGAAACCAAGACCTAAAGAGACTGTACCAAACATGACTTCAAAATAATTCCAATGCCAAATAATTTCTTTTACTTAAGGTGACAAATACAGGACCACCCCTACAGGTCCCCTGCTCCTTCTATTAGCTATAAATTTCATTTTACCACAATGGAAACTTACATAAAGTGATACGTACCCCGAGACTGCTCGTTCGTTTCCTGGGCACTCTGACTTGAGTACTCACACAGAAGCTATATTAATTACAACACTGGCCTATTAGCTCAGGTTTCTTATTAACTAACCCTTACATCTTAAATTAACCCATTTCTATTATTTTATATTTTACCATGAAGCTCATGGTTTGTTACCTCTTGCTTCTTGAGCTGCTACACGGCATCTCCTTGACTACGCCTACCCTCTCTCTATATCCCTTCCAGCCTGGCTATATTCTGCCCTGCCATAGGCCAAGACAGCTTTATTCGTTAACCAATGAAAGCAACACATACACAGAAGGACATCCCACATCAGTGATAATGCAAACTAAAGCCGGCAGCTGGTTCCACAGTTTCAATCTACTCCCCACACTTACTTGAGGGAGCAATGTCCCAGCACACGTTGGAAAACTGCTGCATGGGCTTCAGGGCTTATCAAGAACGTCTGAAGTCCTACAGGATGCCTTCAGAGAACATCCTGGATATCTGCAACCTGCCTTTTCACCTTGCACTTCTGCTCATAGCATTTTCTTCTAAGACCGTTTCCTAGCTCCTTTCTGCCCACAGGGGTAGCCATGCACTATTACTGCTTATTGCTTAGCATAAGCACATGTTAGTATTCATTATAGTAGTTTTGTATCTGTGGTGTCTAGTACGTGGTAGGTACTTAGTAAACTTGAAATTTCATTTGCCATAATCTAAATTATTTTAATATCTACATTATATCTGTGTAATTTCAATATGAAAACTGCACTTGGTAGATCTAATCAAAATGAAAGGAATGTCCTACTTACCCAAGTTGTATATACAATCACAGCTCATCCCTAAACGTCATATTTGCAACTCTCAAAAGCTGTCCCCTTAGACATGAGGATTTGGGGTCAGTTTCTCTCCTGATAAACCGAGGTTACTCTTTTTTGTCTGTCCTACTGTGTTTAAATGCTCAGCATCCTATAGAGTGAAGAGTGTTCAGAACACGGCCTATATCATTCAGACAACTAAGGAAGGTGCTTGGGCGTTGGCCGTTGTAAAAGAAATTTTGGGCTGAATTATCCAGAAAGTTATCTCCTTCTTCTGCTTCACTTTGCCATTTAAAGTTTGGTTTCTGAATGCCTGGTAAATATCACTGCAAGAACAGTGCTGTCAGATTTCCCCCTGACTTTTGCGTCTTGCTGCTCGCTGGTCAAAGGTCCAGAGGAGCTTGACAGGAGCGAGAGCCTGAATACCTAATTCCTGCAACAGAACGGCACACACACCGCGAGCCCTCAGCAAGCACTTGTCAAGTGATCCAATGTGGAACTGTTAGGATGGAGAGGCTTTTACCATCAAAAGGCGGACATGAGATTTTGTTCAAAATTAAAATTTTATTTTGTATATCCTATAAACTTTAATTCTAAATGAGCTAATCTCAGAGTTTTAATAGAATTCTAGGATCATGTAGAATACGTTACACACACCCCCCTTCCAAGTGTATCCTGTATTTGACCACCTTGAGTGAACAGTTCTTCAGCTGTGAGAGAGGAGAGGGAAAGGCCTGCAACTTATTAATGTAACTCTGGGTTGGATTCTGATACCACTAATCTGGTGCTTAAAACTCAAGTCACTTGACTTCTGAGACTCAGAATTTCCTCTGGAGGACTGGGACCCTAGCTTTAGAAACACTGACCCGAATCAAACACCAGTCAGAACAGGCACGCCCTTCTAAGGCCTACAGAATAAGTCTACAAAATATGTTTGATTTAGTTGGGATGCACGGTTCTTAACATTCACTGTGCCAAGAATCCAGTTGGCATCCAACAGATGTGTACCAGAATAAACAAAATGCTACATAGGAATTCAGCATAGTCACTAGGTCAGAGTTTGTTATTCCCGCTATAGAGGAAGTGGTCTACAAGTCTCATGCTGTGACTAGGCTCACGCCAGTTTCTTAGAATGATTGTGCTGGCTCCAGGAGGGGAAGACTTGGAGAAAACTGAGCACCTGGTTCAGAACCTTCTTCCTAACAACCTTCTGTGTGAAAGGACTCAAGGTTGGCTCTGCAGCTGAGACCCACGTAAGCACATCACACACTGCATGGTAAGGAGAACCCGAGAGGCTCTGAGCAAAGGCAGTTAGAGCTAACATCAGGCAGGACTGGCTTCTGGAGCTGTGGAGGAAGGGGGATGCCAGAGACTGAGAAAGGAGTGGGATCGTACCTTAATAGGGCCCGGAAGACAAGATTTAGTAGGCTGCAATATAGTTATTATTTGTGGCACCTTCCATGATGCCTAAAAGTAGATATCTGGAGGCTTCTGTGGAGCCAAGACTTCTGTGCCATTGCAATCCTATGGTGTGTGACTGCAGAGGGGCCATCGAGGACAGAAACTGTCATTGCTTTCTGTTCTCCACTGCCAGGCCAACACTGTTGTTTTGAGCTGATCTTTCCAATTCAAGGAACATGAACTCATCCACTTGCAAGTAAGGACCTCATGGAGGAGTAAGTAGTCTGGTAAACTGCTACAGACAGTCCCATAAGGGCAAGGGTGGCTGGGCTAGCTCCTCCCTGTTCTTCCCTGTGTCTATTCAGACTTCTTAGCAGGTAACAACAAAACACTAACACATGTTTAACGTTGCCACAAAGCACTAATTCCTTTAAAGAAAAAAGAAGAGGGGAGGACTAGCCTAATGCTGCAAAACATGAAGAAAACATGATGCTAATTATCTTGTTTTCACTATGAAGCCTTGCCATGTATTCTACTTTATAAGCACAATCATAGTAAATTATTACCATGTAATGAACCACAACTCTGCGCATATATTTAAAAGCAGGTTAAAACACTTTCTGCAGTTGTAGAATCATTATCCCTTTTTGTTTACTGGCTTCGGCTTAAATGAGATCTATTTACTGATAATAGTTATAAAAACAAACACTGTTCTAAATAAGCATCATTAAAAAACTCTAGACTTTCCTTGACAGATTTATTATTTGATGCTCAGGCCAAGACAGATAGCTAATATACTAATTTGCAGAGTCTAGTGTTATAGAAATAAGATGATGTTTAAATGATGACATCCAAATTATGGGCACAATTTACAATGTTTACAGAAATTGTTTTTAGGGTTCACTACGAATTCCTACTATGCAGTGTTTTACTTACTTTACATGCCTCCGCCACCAAGTTCAATATTCAGTATTGGAAATTCCTTATCCAGCACAATTTTATCTTACACTGATGATGTTCTGGAAGCAAAAACAGCTCCGTCCTAATGGCTTTTGAAAATGTCCCTGGACTAAGGGCAGCTACATTGACTATGCTGTTTCTCTGCATTTCTGGTGTGGTGTTCCTTTTGGTTAGATTTAGTTGGGGTTAAGATCTAGTTTAGGTGATAGGTTTTTCAGCCAGGTAACTGGAAAAGCACCTCCCCTGTCCCTGACACCCACAAATCCCTGTGAGTATATCCTAAGATACTTAAAGAGAGCATATAAATGAATCACTTAGAATATATCGGATACAGGCTATTTTCTATAAGATATTAATAGTACAAAAATAACAGTAAGATATTTAACAAGTTATATGTAGCATGAGGGCCTGCTTGTTGGGGTATTTGTCCCTCCTGGTACCCCACAGCCGGCAAGTTCCAGAGAAAATCAATCACACAGAGATCTCTATAAGTTATAAAGCGGATTGGCCCATTTGGTCAGGCTACTTATTAGCTCTTATAACTTATGTTACCCCATTATCCTTATCTACGTTAGCCACATGGCTCAGTACCTTTCCCAGTGGGGCAGCTTACATCTTTCCTCTCCAGTGGTCTGGGCAGAACTGCGGAGGGAGCTTCCTGCTTTCCAGAATACTCCCAGTCTCTTTGCTCCACCTCTACTTCCTGTCTGGCTTTCCCGCCTATACTGCCTGCCTGGCCAATCAGCGTTTTATTAATATATGATTGACAGAATACAGATAATTCTCCCGCACCAGTTATATACAATCATTTGTTAAGAGGAAGAAGTGTGTACAGGTGCTTATGTTGGGCATTAGCTCCAGATTTTCAACTGTAAATTAATAAATGATATACAAAGATTTTCAAGTTCTATGTTGTGCAAGACCCACATTTATAGGCACACGCACTGTGTGAAGGGTTATGTAAGGTGCGGACCAGGTAGTCAGACCAGCTGGTAAGTCTCTGAACGGCTCAGGATGGAACCTTAAAGAAAACCACAAAAGAAGAGGTGAAGTCTGCTGAGGATGTAACACAGGACTGACAGTAACACTTAAAAGAAGCAGTTAGTTTGTCTGTTCGAAATACATAATGAACCTTTGTCCTATTTATTTAGCAGTGTATTTGATGTATTTCTAGGAAAATGAATTTCAGCACACGAAAGAAAAAAGTTTAAACAAATAAAACCCCTAACATTTGTTTTTATTTTGTTCATAACTGTTACATTTTTCTTAAAGAAAAATTAACATTCTATCCCACAAATCAAGTCTG